ATTCTGACGTTCGTTTTCTCCCCTCAAGGAATTATCAGCTGAATAGTTCTCCAAGCAACACTCTGAGAGACCGTTGGTAAGTGTTGCTCACACATCGTTTCATACAAACGTGCTGTGGGACCACAATGAGGTACCACAACACAGTGGTCGGAAATATTATTTGTTTGGTTTGCGGCTTGCTACCGCGACAAAGAAAATGAACTTCATTTCAATTACTGATGAATACTCTGATTGTTGCAGGTGAAGCCGTTTGTGATGCTAAAACGAGTAATTCCTGGTGAGCCGAAGCGAATCGGTAATGATCGCTTCGAAGGTTACTGCGTCGATTTAATTAAACTACTGGCAACTAACATCAGTGGCTTTGGGTCCTATGAAATATTCATAGCAGATGGAAACAAATATGGCCAGCGCCAGGATGACGGCTCCTGGGACGGAATGATCGGATACTTACTCAACGAGGCATGTCTTGAGGCTTTGAAATCACGATAAGTTTGTATTAGTTTGTTCGCACAGTTTTGATGCCTACGAGTAGTTTCTTTGCCAATCTGAATGTCACTGAGCACATTTTCAGGGATTTAAAAAAGAGCTTGCCTTACAAAATCTCATATCAGAATTTACATCTTGTGAATGCCATTCCCCGGGGATATTTTTCAAAATAACAATACTTGGAATTCCCCCAAACTTTTGGCCGAAAAATTTCAAAAACCTGTGAAGAAATAGCATGAACCTATTCATTTACAAAAGAAAAGCCTCGGATTCAGCACGAGTGATCGTTTTCTTGACGCAAGGAACAATCCCGATCTTCTGCTACTGAATCCATGAAGGCGCAGCACGAGAGATCATCTGTACCGAGCAGTACGACATCCATTCTGACGTGAAAAAGTAAGAGGAGGATGCCAAAATCACTTGACTTTTTCCCTGAACTTTGTCGCAAGATGAATAACAACTAAGTAAAAGCAAACAGATATGCAGACAGCAGACGTTGCGGTAGCACCACTGACGATCAATCAGGCACGTGAGCGTGTTGTGGACTTCTCGAAACCGTTCATGACCACCGGGATTAGTATTATGATCAAGAAACCGGAGAAACAAGAATTCAACGTCTTTTCATTTATGCAACCTCTGGGAACAAACATTTGGTTCCTGATACTTTGCTCGTATGTAGGAGTAAGTTATTTCTAGTTCCTTCTTCGAACCCATGATTTTTGTAGTAACATTTTAATTCATTTTTATGCGTTTTTGCTGTGCAGCGCTATATCAGCGCTATAGCGCTGCTACAGCCAGCAAAAA